CTCTGGTTCAAAGGAGAAACGTTTGGAGTATGTTAGAGCAGCAGGAATTTCCGAGAAGGTTGAATGTAAGGATTTTGAAGGATATTTGAGGTAAAATACACCAAAATTGAAGGATAACAACAAACATCACTGAGGGGATGCCAAAATATAGGCACAGATCTGACAGACTTAGGTGGGTTTACTATTTACATTGAGAGAAACTGATGAGCTCTCGTTTTGATGTTTGAAGGCTGAAAATCCAGAAAAGCATCACTTTCAAAAGCTTCTGACTGAATTAAACAAACCCACCGACGCCTATGAGCTGAACGTCGCCAACAGGCTCTATGGCAGAAAGGAGTTTCCCTTTCTTCAGGTGAGTTTCCCTGGCCTGCCCACACGTTTCATCCGCATCCTGGTCCTCGGCCCCCAGGTCTCCAAATGGGGGAGGAGAGGCAGGTGAGCCTGGCTGACCCCCACGGAGAGCATTTACCCCAGGGACTTTGGGCTCCTGCACCACAACCCACCCTTGGGTTGTTCCAGAGCCTGACTACGCAGCAGTGAAGTGGGATTGGGATGGTCCCACGTCCTCTCTCTGGTCATGACTGAGCATAAATTTATTTGGGGCTGCTTACAAAGTTACTCATGAATTACTCTTAATTCCTCCTTTCTTCCTTCCCATGTCAAAGGAATACATCAATAATGTGAAGAAGTTGTACCTAGCCAGTGTGGAATCTACTGATTTTGCAAATGCTCCAGAAGAAAGTCGACAGATGATTAATTCCTGGGTGGAAAGGCAAACTAATGGTACGTTACGAGAGGTTCACTCACTAAGAAGCACTTTTGAGTCCCCGGGGTGTGTGATCTGCCCCCCAAGCTGGACACTGCATGGAGTGCCAGGAGAGGGGTGAGATGAGACTGCAGAGGATGAGGAAGGAAGTGCAGATGGTGGGATGTTCCCAGTAAATGTGGAGAGAAACAAGGGGACCCAGGAGGGATCCCAGCACCAGCTCCTGGAAACTCATCTGGAGTCTCCAGTGAAGTGTCTTTGTGGATGCCAAGTCTCGGCTCAAGCTTCACTTGATTTCACACTTTTATCTTTCTGTTAGAGACAATATTAAAAGGATTCCCTTATACTTTGTTACCTGGGAAACAAGCAGCTCTCCTCTGAACCGTCCTTCTTGTCACCTGGTGCAGAGCTGTCTGGCCTGTTGTCCATGCCCACATCCTGCAGGGATGCTCACAGCCATCTCCCCAACCACGGCAAATGGCTGGACAAAGTCTCCATCCTCTGAACCACGTCCTACCTCCATCCCAATTATAGGTCAAACCTACAGCAATTCAAAGTGGAGAATGAAGAGGAAGACACCCCGGGGAATGGTGTTAGGGTCCATGTCATTCATCCTGAAGAGCATTCAGGCCTATTTCCTCTGAGTAGTGAGTCAAAAGTGAAAAGATAGGAAGAGAGAGAGGAAGGAAGTAGGAGTTATTTAGAAAGGAAGAATAGAACAAAGTCGGATGAAACAAGAGAGGAAAGCAGGTGTTGAGGGCACCGGGAGCGAAGGATACAGCAATACAGGGACAAAAGTGACCCCTGGAAATATCAGCTGAAATCACTCCATCCGTATTCAGTTTAAGATGACGGATGTCACCACAGACAGAGACTGAGCACCTTCCCTGTCACAAGAAGGGGTCTCCATGAGGGTACCTCCATCAGGCTGGTGACTCGGGGAAATAGCACCTTATGAACTTCTGGGCATGGTGTCCCTAATATGGTGACTTGTGTGAATGTTTATTGATTAGTTGTAACTTTCAAAGCATCTTCAAGAAAATCCACTTGTGCCTGCAGGAAGACCTTCCATTTTATTTCCTTGCAGAAAAAATCAAGGATCTATTTCCCAACGGTTCTATTGACAGCTCCACCATTCTGGTGCTGGTGAACGCCATCTATTTCAAAGGGCAGTGGCAGCAGAAATTTAAGGAAGAAAACACTGTCGAGGAAAAATTTTGGCTGAGCAAGGTATTGTGTATACTTATTTTTTTAATTGTTTTCTTTTTCTATTTTTTTAATGAAGAGAAGTAATTAGATGTATTTATTTATTCTTGGAGGAGGTACTGAGGGTTGAATCCAGAACCTCATGCATGCTAAGCATGGGCTCTACTACTTGAGCTATACCATCCCCTTATAAGTTATTTTCATAACATAATACAGCTCTAGCTGAAATGTGAAATTTACATATGTAATTATTAATGTACAACTGCACGTAGAAAATCAAATTTGTCAAGGCTCTCTTTCCTTAAGTAATTTTTTTCTTTAATTACTTGGGAATCCTTATAGGAACTCGTTTGTAACTCACAGATTTCCCAGATCATCCCTTAGAAGGATGGGTTTGGTATCTCAATGATATTATCCCTTTTTCTGACTTGTGGTCACTTGGCATTTGTTTCCACATTAATTTCTTGCAGGATAGAAGCAAATCTGTGCAGATGATGAAAGAAACCAAAGACTTCAATTTCACCTCCCTGGAGGACATGCAAGTCAAGATCCTGGAGATACCGTACAAAGGCGAGGAGCTAAGCATGATGCTGCTGCTGCCCAATGAAGTAGATGGTCTGCAGAAGGTAAAACCGTGCACCTCCAAGGCTTCCTACTGTTGCTTCGATTCCTAGCAATACAAACAAAATAGGCTGTTCATACATCAGTGGTGCTGGCTGGCAGAGATCAAGTACAGAACAAACAAAATAAATTCCTTATGGATCACAGTATGATAGGAAGAATATAATGAATTTCTGTTCATCACAGGTCACAGTAATATTCTGATGAAACTATGGAATGTCAGTTCACAAAGCTATATACCTAGCTCCACACCTTAATATTTTGCAGCCATAACAACTTCCAATATAATCCAGTCCACTCATTTAAACAGGAAAATAATACTCACATGTAGGTGACAGATTAAAATATTTGCAAATTAATTCACAAGTAATAAAAAATGGAAGTAACATAGGTGATAAATTGCATACTAAATCACAGTGGTTTTGTAGACTGTGGGCAAATAGATTTATTTTGACCCTCACTTTTCAATGTTCAATTATTCTGTTCGAGGAGTCCTAAAGTCATTCAGAGCCTCATTGCTCGGAGTTTAAAAAAAAGAATTAGAGAATTTTCCTCTTCTCATGTTATAATAGTTAAAAGTTAATATGTAAAAATGGCAATATACAATGCCGATATCTTACATATAAAGGACATTCTGTTAAGGGTCGTCTGCAGTTACTGGAGTAGCTGCTGCTGACGCTGATGTGGCAGTGAACTTCCCGCACTCAAAATGTATATGGAGTGACACTGGCAACTGGAAATCCTCATGGAAATTCCTGTGGCAATAAAGGTGAACAAACATCAGAGTATTCTTGCTCCAGCGCTGCAGTCTGCATTATCCGGGACCCCGGGAACCCCAGTTCTGGGATTTTAGCCTATGGCAACAAGTCTAAATGAGGCAAACGCTTTTGGACAGAAGTGGCTCAAAATAATGAAAATTTTTAAACAAGGAACAATGGTACATGTTTGTGTTACCAGTAGTTTAGCTTAGGGATTGACACGCAGTGAAGGTATATTCAGTCAGATGTTCATTAAATTAAGATAGATACACTGAGTAACAATTTAATGAAGTATCGTGTAAGAATTTAAACTTGATTAGAGAAATATATATCTGTTTGGGAAACGTTTACAAATAGATAAAGCAAGAGAAAAGAACAAAAGTAGATGTATTCTATGAATTCAGAAAGTAAAAATTTATGAAGGAAAGGACATTAAGAAGAGAAGACTTTGAAAATGAGGCGTGCCACACATACGGAGCATGAGAATTGAACACTTCATCCTTTACAAAATAGTTTAATCATTCTGTTGCTGCATATACATATATATTTATACATTTATACCTATATACAATGTATAGATATTTATACATATGCATCTAGTTATGTGTACATATATAGAAAAAAATAAGAAAGTCATGAACATATAAGATCTTTTATTTGACCAAATAATATATATTCAGGTCTCTGTTACTTTTGCCTCCTCAGATTCAATCAAATCATTTCAATCTCCTGTACTTACACTTACTGTTAAGGTAAAGGTTCCCCACATGTTACAATCCAGCTTAAGCTGGGCTCCATGTGCTTTCTTTCCATCGTTTTAGCTGGAAGATAAACTGACTGCTGAGAAATTATTAGAGTGGACGAGCTCACAGAATATGTGGAAGAGTCAAGTGGATTTACACTTACCTCGGTTCAAAGTGGAGGAGAGCTATGACCTCAAGGCCATACTGGTAGCCCTGGGGGTGGTGGACGCCTTCAGTTCACGGGATGCTGACTTCTCAGGCATGACCAGGAAACACAGCCTGGTGGTGTCTCAAGCCGTGCACAAGTCCTTTGTGGAGGTGAATGAGGAGGGCACGGAGGCTGCAGCAGCCACAGGCATCACTGTGGGTGCAACATCAATATCAACACCACGTTATGAACATTTCCATTGTGATCACCCTTTCCTGTTCTTCATCAGACACAACAAGACCAACAGCATCCTCTTCTTGGGCAGAGTCTCTTCCCCTTAGATGTGGTTACCCTTGCAAGGCCCTAGGGGCACATGCACAGAGTCCTTCTGATACACTGATTGCTGGAAGCAACAGGTCCTCCTTCATTTGTACCCCTTTCCACCCTCATGGTCATCACTAAGAATCCAACCACTGATACAACATGTCTGTCTGTCTCTCTCTTTCTACAATCACATGTTGGCCTACTTTATTTCCCCATGATAGTTTTGCTTAAGACAAAATCTCCAAAATGTGATACAAGTATATTTCAATACTTTCTCTTCATCTAAATTTCAAATATCATATGTGCTATCTCAAAAAATTATAGCTACTATTCAAACCTATTCACCCAGACACCCACAAGTATTTGGATTTTGGTGGTATGTGGAACACTTACCTGTCCTCATCTCTTGGTTTTATGAAATACATTATCAATAAAACAATGACTCATTCATATCATTTGTTGCTTTTCCTCTTTTTTCTTTACAAGAAATTGCAAGCGCCCACCAAACATAGAAAAGATAACTTAGAAATATATGACTGCATTTTTAAAAATACAAAGATAATAAGAGTGTGATGATGATGAAGAGGGAAATTAGTATCAGAACATGAATGGCTCTGTAACATGTGTCCAGAACTTAAACATGAGTCTAGAACTCAGAGACTGGAAATAAACTGAATGTCTAAAGATGTGAAGCTGATGATATTATTAGAGTTACTGAGGGAAATATGGTCATTGTAGCTAAAGGCAAGGATGGCATCACACTGGAAGAGAAGAAAGTATCTAGAA